ATCCTTCTCTTCTCCAGGTGAACCCCCCAGCTCTCCCAGCCTGGCTCCAGAGCAGAGGGGCTCCAGCACTTGGAGCAGCTCTGTAGGCTCCTCTGGACTCCTCCAGCAGCTCCACGTGTTTCCTGTGCTGAGGATCCCAGAGCTGGGATGGCCAGACAGGTCCCCCCTGGTTCCTTAATGTCATCACCTTGGGCAGGGCTGGGGGTTGGTGAAGAGCTGCTGGCAAAACCTCACAACAATTGCAGGAGGGAGTCCAAGGCACCACCTCAGACAGCAGTTGCTTTGCAGTGTCATGTCAGTCCTTCTGAGAAATCTCTGTGCCAAGACCAACAGCTGCTGGCAGGAAAGGGGCTCTTCTTTTTGCTGGGGGGCCCAAATTTCTCCCACCCCTCTCAGCTGCTGGAGCAGAGGCACCTCAGTAACTCCTGCACTGCCCTGGGCCCATCAGCCTCTTTTCCTGCAGCAGCTTTGGGTACAGTGAGGCTTCCAAGCATCCAGGATTCCCTGTTTGGGCTCTGCAGGGCTGCCCCTGCACTGGTTGTGGTGCCAGGATGGTGCCTACAGGGTGCCAGCCAGGTCTTTGCCCTGCAGAGCTCCAGCAGCAGCTCAGGGGCAGATGGGGGGGTGAAGGTTCCACAAGTGGTTTCCTCTCAGCAAATCCCTCCCATAAGACCCTAAATCATGGTAGAAACATCCCAAGCTCCAGCAGGTCTTGGCTCCAACTTCCCTGAGCTTTGCTGTGGGGTGGCCTGGCTTTCACTGCTCCCTCTCCTCTCTCCCCTCCCGCAGCCCTGATGTGGAGTTCTGTGGCTACTGCATCACACACCCCTCAGAGAGCAAGATCAACTTCAGGATCCAGACCAGAGGTAGGGCTGGGGGCTGTTCCTGCATGGCTGGGCTCCTTTTTTCATGGAATTCCCCCCTGCTCATGCCAGCTTCCCAGCAGGACTCATTTAAGCAAAGCCAAGCCCTTTTACCTCCCCTGTGCAGTGCTGTGCCCCATGGCTGAGCCTGAGGCTGCTCCCAGTGGGATGCTCCAGCTCCTGTTCCCAGCTGGAGCAGGAAGCAGCTCCCCTGGCTGGCAGCAGGCTCTGGCACAGGGAGCTCAGCCTGGGTGGGCAGCAGGAGGGGGGTGAGTGGGCACACACCCAGGGAGGAGGTGGGACTGCCCAGGGAGAGGCCACCAGCCCTTGAGAGCCACCTCAGTGCCCCTGACCCAGCTTTTGGAGCCCCCTCAGTGCCCCTGACCCACCTCAGTGCCCCTGACCCAGCTTTTGGAGCCCCCTCAGTGCCCCTGACCCACCTCAGTGNGAGCTCAGCCTGGGTGGGCAGCAGGAGGGGGGTGAGTGGGCACACACCCAGGGAGGAGGTGGGACTGCCCAGGGAGAGGCCACCAGCCCTTGAGACCCACCTCAGTGCCCCTGACCCAGCTTTTGGAGCCATCTCAGTGCCCCTGACCCACCTCAGTGCCCCTGACCCAGCTTTTGGAGCCACCTCAGTGTCCCTGACCCAGCTTTTGGAGCCCCCTCAGTGCCCCTGACCCTGCTCCCTTCCCACAGGGGCCCTTCCAGCCGTGGAGCCGTTCCGGAAGGGGCTCAATGACCTGATGGCTGTTTGCCAGCACGTGCTCAGCACCTTTGAGGTGAGACCATTCCTGAGGAGCTCAGGAGCCTTTTCCATCTCTCAGCCCTGTGTCTGTCCCCAAGGCCTGTGCTGGAGGCGCCTTTGCCATGAAAACCTGATGGTTTCCTTGGGCATCCTCCACCTGGCTTCCTTTCCCTTGGAGTGATTGTGAAAATCAGGCACTTCCAAAAGCACCTGCAGCTCTGTCAGAGCTTCCCAGCCTTTCCAGGCTCCGGGCAGAGAAGTCCCAGCACTGCAGGGTGGTGGCTCTGGGCTGCACGAGTCACCCAGGGACGTGCTGCTGACTTTGGTCCTGTGCTCTTGTTGCAGAGGAGCATGAAGGAGTACAGGGCACAGAGAGAGGAGGAGATGCAGTAGCCTTTGGAGATGGCACAGATGTCCCCCTGGATGTCCCCCTGGATGTGTGTGATGTCCGTGTGTTGAATTCCCTGGGTCCAAGCTGGTTCTTTTTGGTTGTTTTTTTCACAGCTTTGATGCAAACTGTGTTTTCTCTATGAATAAAGTTTATTAATTTAGATGCTGCAGAGGTGACACTGAATTCTGCTCAGCACAGCTGTGGAAAGCCACAGAATCATGGAATGGTTTGGGTTGGAAGGGATCTTAAAGCTCATCCAGTTCCACCCCCTGCCATGGGACACCTTCCATTATCCCAGGTTGCTCCAAGCCCCATCCAGCCTGACCTTGGACACTTCCAGGGATTCAGGGGCAGCCACAGCTTCTCTGGGCAACCTGTGCCAGGGCCTCCCCACCCTCCCAGGGAAGAATTCCTTCCCAATATTCCACCAAACCCTGCCCTGTCAGTATGAAGCCATTCCCCCTTGTCCTGTCTCTACACACCCTGATAAAAAGGATGGAGAGAAGGCAGTTCTGTCACTCTCCCATCATATTTCTTCCCCTCTCCAAGTGTTTTTGCTGTTTTCTTCCCAGGATTTCCAGGTCAGAGGTGCAGAATCAGGTGCACAGAACAAGTCTGAGCCCTCAGGGAGCCAAGGGGCTCAAATCAAGCTTTAGAGGGTGTAATGGGGTGTGAAATCACAGGGCTTTGAGGGCTTGGGAACCTTTCTGGGTTGCTCAGCACGTGCAGGAGGGACAAGGCTCACCCCAAAGGAACCTGCTGCCACTCAAGGAAGTATTTAAGGGACTTTGCAGCCCCCCTACTGCTCAGTACCAGAGGTTTTCCTTTCAAACACCACCCTGTTTTATTAGGAACATATGGAGGAGGGAGAGGCAGGAAGGGAAAGGTCAGGTTTTCTCTATAAAATCACTCTGTCAAACAGGAATTGGCAAAGTGGGTCTTGCTGGCAGGTTTGTGCTGGGGTTGTGCCAAGGGGCCAGCTGAACCTTGGGTTTCCTAATCCAGCTCCTTTTCCTGTGGGATTGCTGCCAGGGATCCATCCTGCCCATGCCAGCGTGGTCCCACATAACAGTGGGAGTTGAAATCACAGACTCCATTTGCCTGGAAATGTGGACAAATACAGAAACACACAGAATTCTGATCTTTTTATAAGCAGAATCATTCAAAAATACCCTTTTACTAAGGTGTCTGAGCTGGAACATCTCAGTCTTTATCAATTTTCTCTTTTGACTTCATTTTTCCACCAACAAATGCAGCCAGAGCCCAACAGCAGCACTGCAACACAGACAGAAATTACTCCAGTAGGTTGGGAAATGTATGGAAAACAGGCAGGTCTGCCTATTCCTCAGTTTCTGCTTGCCTTGAAACCCATTTGTCTTTCAGAAATATGACTTGTTTGTAAAACATTTGCAGCTAAAAAAACCCCAACACCTGGAAAACGTTTTAATTGCAAGTCTTCTCTCTTGTTTTCCTCTCTCCATTTTTTTTTTCCTATGGCAAGGTGAAAAGGGGAAAGAAATAAAAAGAGGGATAAAAAAGAAGGGAAAACCAACAGAAAATCATCAAAGACTTGGTAACTGAAACTTTTTCATGTAGATTTTCTTACACTTTTGGCAAGAGGTTGTTAGAATAAACATGGAATCACGGATTGCTTTGGGTTGGAGGGGATCTTATAGATCATCTCTGACACCTTCCACCAGACCAGGTTGCTCCAAGCTCTGTCCAGTCGAAAATTGCTGGAAAAATCACTCAGGGGATTGATTTTGTCAGGAGGGAATCTGGGGAAGCTCTTTGCCATGTTTTGGTTCGTTCCAGAGGCTCTTTCAGCTGAGATTGGACCTTCCCCACTGCCTTTGCCACCTTCAGTTGACCACAGGGACGTCTCTGTCCCCTCCCAAATGCCCTGGAACTTGGTGTCCCTTGGCCAGGACACAGCAGAGGGAACACCAACTCCAGGCATCAAAATCCAGGGCACCCCTTTTTCCCTTTGGATGGGGTGATCCCCCTCCCAGGAGCTGTGGGCTGAAGGACATTCCAGCTGCTGAGGAGCCTGGGTTGAGGCTGGATGCTTTCCTGGAGGGGCACACCTGGATCCTCTCCCTTGCTACCTGCCCAGCAGAGCATTAGGTGCTTCCAGGGGTGTTGGAAAGGTGAGGGCTGGATCCTTGGAATCGGCCTCACCTGGATTGGAGCCGTATCTGCCTTCCCTTTCCTGGGCCTACCAACTCTTCCCTGGAAGGAACAGCATTCCCAGCCATCCTGGTGCTCCCTTGGCCCTGGGAAGGGGGAGCTGGACCCGATGGCTTGGCTGGATGTTCCCCCCAGTGACACCTGGGGACTCCTGGACCCCAAACCCTGCGGTCACACGCGGTCACCTGCCTGTGCCACTCACCCCCCCCCGGCTCAGGAGTCTGGGGCAGGATTCCCAGGAAAAGGGGAAGAGAAGGGGGCTTTCAGGGCTCCCTGGGGCAGGTTGGTGACACAGTGAGGCCGAGTGACTGTCCCCACCACAAGCAGGAGGAGGGTTCCCACCACTGGTGCTCTGCCAGCCATCCCTGGATCTCATCCTGACTCCAGGCCCAGCAACCAAAGCTCTTTTTTTTTTGCTCTTTCAGCTGGGAATTGTCACTCGTGGTCCTCTCCCTCCCCTCCTCATCCCACATCCATCTCCAAGCGACCACATCCCAACTTTCCTTCCCTTTTCCTCGCAATCTCCCCCCCCAGCCCCCCGTTCCACCCCCAGACAAATGGCCAGAAGTCACTTGGTTTTCCTGCAAGGGAATGAACAATCCCGTAAGGATGTGAAGGCCCTTCCCCCTCCCTCAGGGTGGGGGGCAGAGCCCGGGCCCAGAGCTGGGCCTGGGGGGCCGTGGAGGGCTGCAGCTCCTGCCAGGGGGGTTACAACGTGAAGGCAAAGATGATTCGGGCCCAGCCAGGGAGGAGCCACAGGAGAGGAGCAGAGGGGTCCTGCTGTCCTTGTGCCTTGTCCTTGACCCGGGGATTTAGGAGGAGCTGTACTTGTTACTCAGGCGGGAGCTGCTCCGGTCCAGCCCCAGCTCCTGCCCCGTGGCCTTCCACTTCCCAACTGATCCCTTCTCGTCCGTGGGGGTGATGCTCAGGGCAGGCCTCTGGCACCAGCAGCACAGGCAGGACTGTGAGGAGACAAGAGGAGGGAGGGAGAGGTCACAGGTGTGGGATACAGGGGAAAAGAGGAGGGAATGTTCTGGTACTGGAGCTGGCAGGTCACCCTGTGCAGTGCCAGGCTGGGAACTGCAGCCTGCACTCCTGAGCCTTGCTGTCCTGCAGGTCTGCTGGGAGCAGGATTTCCAGGATAGGGCCGGTGTGGATGGGAAATGAAAATCCCAAAATCATGGGCACTTTTTACAGTTGTGTTTTCTTGTCCTTAAGGGACAGAACACACAGGCTCAGCTCTTCCTTTTGCCACAG